CACATGTTCTCCTAACACACCTGCTGACATTGTTCACAATCTTGCAGCCCTGCTGTTGTCTCATGTGTGTGTGCGTGTGTGAGAGAGTTAACCTCACTCTTCACTCTCACACAGCTGGAAGGAACGAGCTCACCTGAGGGCTCAGCTGATGCCTGAACTCACATCAGCATAGGAGAGGAACTGAAAGAGAACCGTGGACCCAAGTCACCAGAAACCTTCTTCCACCACGTTCTTTAAAGTCATGAACTTTTGTTCAGAGTCCAACCAGAACGACTAGTTCTGACACGAAGCTGTATCGTTACACGTAGTCAGTGCTGTCTGAATGAAATCATAACTTTATCTCATCTTATTTAACGTGACCACAAACCCAAACTCAAATGGGTTTGCAGATGTCAACCAGTTGCTAAGACAGAATGCAGACAGAAGACAAACCGATATCTTCTCTCAGCCAATCAGAGCTTTGCTCAGTCCGCAAGCTTTTAGCTTCAATCACAAGAACTGGGCTCATCCTGGGGCAAAGGAGGCAAAAAGAAAACATTAAAAACTGTTCCTGTTCATTGTAACAAAGCACCAGCACAGTGCACATGTATGACCACGAGAACAGAGAATACACGTGATTACAATCCTCATAAATCACTGAGCAAAATGAATAATGATGCTACAGGAACAAGCTGTACTGCTGTGGCCTCAAACTGCAGCCACCAGCACATCGCCTTTCACCAACATACAGAGACAATAGCAGAAATCACAAACTCTCCTACAGAGGATTATTTATCTGCTTCCCTTCAGACAGGATTTAATTGTAAATATTTTAGACCAAAGAAACAGGAAAGTGGGAGCGAACACCTGAAAGCTGAGTTTCTCTGCAGCGACACACTGAGGGTGCGTCTCACTGAAAGCCGTGGAAATGCCGCTTTAGATGCTCATGTTTACAACATCACACACGAAGCTGCTGGACAGCAGCAGATAAAGGGGAGCTGTGGGAGCGAGGCGGCTTCAAGTTGATCGTTTGTCGTGTTTCCTCTGGATCCGCCCACGCCGCCGTCGGCCTGCTCGCTGAGCACAGATAAATTAATTAGGCAGGGACTCGCATGAAAGGGGGCGATCACGTTCCTCCCTCTCTTTGTTTTGTCTCCATAAATTGTTTGACTGAGAGTGAATAGAAGAGGATTATCAGCGTCCCCGTTACTCCACGTGTGGGCAAATCTTGTAGGAGGGCGGCCATTTTTGATGTTAACGGTGCGCCTGTTGTCCTCTGGTCCTGAGAAAGAGATTCTGATGCAAAGTGACTTTAAATAAACCATGAAATGTTCACTAATTAATGTAACAGCAGAGTAGGAGAATCAAATCTAAAATGTTCGTGTCGTGATTGTAAAATGCGTCGATCCGATCGTTCAGACTGAAAAGTCTCAGCAGCTGTTGGATAAAACATAAAACATGTTCTGCTGGCAG